GTAAATTTACTGAAAACCTGAGTTTCAAAAGGCTGAAATCAGTCATGAATTTGGGTTAGATTTGGTTCTAAGCTATAATGTCAAGAAAAAATCCTTGACTGGGATCAATCTCCTGGGCAGGACTCAATGGATCTTGCAGTCAAGGGGACAAAAGGTAGAAAAAATACAACAGGATCTCACATTGAAGGTCAGGTGAACAGGACACGGTCAGTCTTTTCCATGCTAATTTTTCTGCTTGCATCTAAAATCTGCGACACCCTGCCCCGCACAGCCCTCAGCGAGGGAGACTGTCAAAACTTTACACTAAGGAGTGCAATTACACTAATCTCCAAGCAAAAGTAGTGTGTCTGGTTTCTATTATGCTATATCAAAAGCTGTACGAGTGCCCTCTCCTGGCTGATACGCATCCTGGCTTTTTTTCCATATCTGAGTAGCCTATGAGCCTGAAGTACCTGACTTGTGCAGGAATCTGTGGAACATATATTTTTGTTAACGAGTCCTGTTTAACTTGGTTAATTAATCGACCGCATGGTTTCTAACTCGGTTCTCCTTGTGTTTATCACACCTTCCTGTGGCTGACCTTTCACTTTTTGCCTTTCACTGCAAGTTAATTGAGTGTTGCTTTTATTTCAAGGTTATTTTAGTGCCGGTGAGTGATGCTGGGCTGGCAGCCCTGGGGCTTCCAGCTCCACATTTATTCACAGAACAGGCAGCAGGAATGCAGGCTTCATGTGCATTTGTTCTCTTTATTTCACAAAGCAAATGAGACCCGGGTAGAGCTAAAGGTGAAAAAGGAGTGAGCACTAGACATCCCTACTGAGACTGCCCAGGAGGACTGAGACCCCTAGACTTCATTCATATATGTCACGAAGCCGCCACGGACAATTTTCAAGCGCCACCAACCAGCCTGGGCTTGATTTCAGTGGGTGAACCTGGACACGTCTTATTCCATTTTCTAGGACCCTAATTCAGAGGCCCTCAGGACAGGCTTGAAGATCTGCTCCATAAACCATCTCAATGCTGCACTGGAAGGGATTAGACATGGAAAGCTCTGACCTTGGCCAACCGCAGACAGAGTCAAAAGCAGATTGCTTTCAGTGCGTTGCTCCACAAAAACATCAGTGAACTCATTTCATGAGTCCCCAGGGCCCCATTTCCTTCCTTCCTCCCTTTCCTCAGCCAAACTGAAGCTTAAAATAGTATTCTACATTCCTCACATTTCTCTCCAGAACTAATTAATATCCAATCAGCCAAAATCGCTTCTCCCAGAGACATGCCCTAGGCACGTGATGCTGCCCACCCTCCGAGAAGGAAAGACCGTTTCTGCTACATCGAACAGTCCAGCCAAAAATGCAATCCCGATGAAACTTGGACTACCATTCAGTCCCAGAAGTCAGGAAATATGAAAGTAAAAGTTCCATGAATAACCTTAACTCTGCCCCCTTGTACGTCTACGCTGCGTGTGCAGAGGCATAACCATTTGCTCATCCTCAGTTGCAGTAGGGGGAGCCGACGTATCCTGTGCTGGAGTCAGATCAGCCCCTGCAAAATCCTTAGACAAGGGAAGCCTTCTCTCTGCTCTCCGATATAGGGATGAATCTACACTTTTGGAAGTGATTTTCTCCATTTACCGAAGTCCGAAGCTGCAATAGGGGACCCAACCTCTTTTTCTCAGCTGTATGCTGGCTGAAGAACAGGGAAGCACTGCAGCTGGAGTATTGCTCACTGTCTTCATTTGGCACCCCGTGGGCTAAACATGTCACAAGGAAAGACTCTTTAACTGGTCCGAGCAAAGCACTGGTGATTTCCTGCCCTGCTGATCAACGAGCTGTGTAATGTATTGGCCCCAACCCCCCAAGAATTTCTGGCAGGGTCCCATTGCTGCAGCCAATATATGTAATGGCTCAAATCACCCTGAGAAGTTAATCTAGATTCCCAGGGCCCAGGGGTTATTGTTTGGCGACATCTCCATCTATCATGTTACCCAAACAGTTTGGGTTGTGTTTGGGAGCCTTGCAGCTCATTGAGAGACGCATGCAGAAAGCACATAACCTCTTCCCACCGGCCAGGAGGGAGGGGAATACGAAACCTTCCCACTCCTGGCTTGGGTTGTAACATGGAAAATTCGGTCAGCAGAGCAACCGGCAGCGCAGCCCTGCTCATGGGAAACTCTTGGGAGTTGGATTTACTTTGCTCTTCAACATGAAATAGTTCATACCCTCAGTTTAGATCAAATGATTGGCAATTTGGAGTATGTCCTGCATATGCCACCTTAACGAGGAGGAGTTACATGCTGCAAACAAAATGTAGCTGCTTGGAAATATGGAAAATAACCTTAAAAGACAAAGTATTGTGTTATTAGGACAAGGAGGGCTAAAGGGCAGCTTCCTCACAAAACGCGTGCTTTTATTAATGGAGACAGAGTCCAGCTTGGCCACTGACTGACTGGGAACTGAGGCAAAGTCCTCCAGCTTTAAATAGGGATAATATTTGCCTACTGTATGTGGATTGTGTGCAGTTCAATATTCATAGCTTCATCGATCGTAAGGCCGGAAGGGACCTTGGAAGATCATCAGGTCCAGCCCCCCACACCAAGCAGGAAAAGTGCTGGTGGATATATGGCTAGAAGGTGCTAGCCTTCATATTCATGAAGTGCCAGGCATATGGCTGGATAGATGGATATATGCAGCACTTCATATTCATGAAGCACTGGTGGATATATGGCTACAAGGTGCTAGTTAATTAAAAAAGAGTCATTCTTTGCTGTGGAAGTGACAACACAGGAGCCAGGGGGGCTCTCCTCTCCACTCTCCCTCTTGCATTAAAACTAGGGATGACTAATTTACTCCACTCAGAAGAAAACAGCTCCCTATTTTTCGCTCCCTAGTCTCATCATCATAACAAAAATGAGGTCCTCGCAGGTAGCGTATATCAAACTACCGGGCGCTTTTTTAATAAGAAATCTCTTGCTCTGACGTAGTATCTCGCCTCCAAAGAGCACTTCCACGCATATCTTAAAGCAGAAAGGGAATCCAGGACTCAGGAAATCAATCGCGTTGATGGGGAGCAAGAGCCTACCAGCAATGACCAACTCTAACTCCTTTCAACTCTAACTCCTTTAAAGCTCCATCTTCTCCCTTCTCCTAGGACCCAGAGTGGATGCCCAGTAGGTCGACTTAAGAAAAATTTTGCTGGAGAACAAGCACTTTCGGAAGCAAGGGGAAAATGGACAATGAAAGGGCTGCCACCCAACCAGGCCATCTCAACACTCAAAGGGTTGCACAAGTTGGCAAGCAAGCTACTTCTTTAAAGGAAACCCATAGCCACAGCTGCCTGGGCATACCCATGGGGGTGCCCCTGCCCTGGGGCCTACAAGGTGGGTGAAGCTGCAGGCAGACAGGGCCAGGGGGGGTGCTCCAAGCTTCATAGTAGTTAGGAGGTCAGAAGAGACCTGAATAGATCATCAAGTCTAACCCCCTGCCACTGGTTGGAGTGCACGCTGGGATCACACGACCCCAGATAGGTGTTCATCCAACCTCTTTCTGAATTTACCCAAGGTAGGAACAAGGACCACTTCCCTAGGAAGTTGGTTCCAGATCCTAGCTACCCTGACAGTGAAATAGTGCCTCCTAATCTCTAACCTGAACCTATTCTCCAGCAGCTTCTGGCCATTGTTCCTTGTCGCTCCAGGGGGTGCTGGGGGGAATAGGGCCCTTCCTATTTGCTGCTGGTCTCCCCTAATGAGTTTGTAGGCAGCCACCAAATCCCACCTCAGCTTCTGCTTGCTGTGGCTGAACAGGTTCCGGTTCCTCAGCCTCTCCTCGTAGGGCCTGCCCTGTTGCCCTCCAACCAAGCGGGCGGCCCAAGAAATGATGCCGGCCTCGGAGCTGGTGCTGACCCTATATTTGCTGGACTTGGACCCTAAGGGAAAGGCTGCACGAGCAGCTGAGAGACTTGGGCTCTGGCACCATGTTATTAGGGTCACTGGCTTTGGCTTCCCTGGGCTCGGTGCCATGACAGGCCAGTGGGGCCGCACCCCGTGTTTTGTGGAGGGTGATAGCCAGCCTGCCCTACAGCCTCGCCTAGGGAGCCCTGACTCGCAGAGGCTGTGGCAGGCTCCCCTGTAGAGCCCTTTTTTTTAAAAATACATTCCCTGCAGAGCCTCTCTCCTTCCCTTCTCCTTGCTTCCTTTCTTCTTTAACACATCCCCTGGAGAGACCTTTTTTTCTTTTGTTTTCCTTTTTTTTTTCTCTTTAAATGCATCCCTTGCAGAGCCCTTGTTTTCCAATGCATTCCCTGCAGAACCTTTCTTCTCTCATTTCTTCCTTTCTTTTAACACATCCCCTGCAGAGCCCTTTTTTTAATGCATCCCCTACAGTCCTTTTTTAAAAAAAAAAAAATTCCCTGCAGAGCCTTTCTTCTTCATTTCTTCCTTCTTTCTTTTTTTTCTTTAACACATCCCCTCAGCCCCTTTATTTCTTTTTTATACAGTCCCTGCAGAACCTTTCTTCTTTCCCCTTTTCGTTCTTCCTTTTCCAACACATCCCCTGTAGAGCCCTTTTCTTTTTTTTTCCTTTTTTTTAAATGCATCCCCTGCAGAGCCCTATTTTATTTTTGTAAATACATTTCCTATAGAGCCTTTCTTCTTTTTCTTTTCTTCCTTCCTTTTTTCTTTAACACATATCCCTGCAGAGCCCTTTTTTTCTTTTGTTATCCTTTTTTTAATGCATCCCCTGCAGATCCCTTCTTTTTCCTTTTTTTGGTTCCTAAATGCATACTCTGCAAGGCACACCACAGCCCACCCGCCTCTGCCGTAAATGCATACCCCGCAAGGCACACCACAGCCCACCCGCCTCTGCGGGCCCCTACAGGCAAACGGCGGGTTACTGCCTGCGCCCGGCTATTTATACTCTCGCCCCCCCCACCACATGGTATGGCCCAGCCGGCTCCCTCCACCTCCCCATGGTACAGCCCATGCCCCTTCCGCCCTGTCCCCGCATCCGGGCGGAAGGGCTGTGCGCATGCGCGCTGCGCTCCCCGGGGCAGCATGGAGGCGGCAGCCGGCGTGGCGCGCATCCGCGCGGGGTGAGTGCGGGGCGGGAGGCGCTGCACGTCTGTCTGCACACGCTCGTCACACCCCTGTTTGTCCCGCGTTAAAAATCATCCTCTTTTGAAGGGATTGAGCCTTGCCAATCCGGGGTCGTGGGCGGGCGCTGTGTCTCTCCTGGGATAAACAGCTGTTTTTTATCCCGGGAGAACAGGCAGCCAGGTCCGAGCTGCCAGCCCTGAGCGGCCACCAGGAGCAGGTTGGAGGTTTGCTGGGGCAGCAAGGGGAGCCGGGCTTTGCTGTGCCCAGTCGCCTGCCGCTGTAAAGCATCGTGTATCAGACGTGCAAGACACTTCCTAGTAGAGACGATCTCTTTCATTACACCAGCAACACTTTTGCAAAAAAAAAAATTTTTTTTGTTTTTTTGCAAAAATCTTGTTGGTGTAATAAAAGATATCTCAATTACGAGTCCTGATTGCCTTTCCCTCTAGACTAATACGGCTAGGTACTTCCTACTCCCTTTAGGCAGAGGCTCAATGTAGTGCAGAAGCAGGTCTCGCGCTGTAAGCCCGGCGTCTGGGAAGAAGAGGGGAAGAGCAGGCTAAGAGTGACCCTACTGCGCGTCCGGATGAGCGCGGCCGTGCAGGCTGCTGTTCTCTGCGCTGCAAGGGCACACTGCTTGCACGTGCGCTGCTCCAGGTTTTTTTCTGCGGGTCTTTTTGACCCCTGAAGAGCAGAGCTGGGCCACCCAGAGCCGTGCTGCAGCTGCCAGCCAGGCTCTGCCCGGCAGGATCACCGCAGCTGCAGCCCCCGGACTCCAGGTAAGGCTGCTGGTGCCAGCACAGCCTCCCCTACCCCACCCGGGGTAACTTGTCGCACACCAAAGTGCACATGGCACGGGCGTTCCCGCTGCAGCTACTTGTCCCTAGGGAACCAAAATCTGCACTCGTCTGGATGCAACCACTGTGCTTTGCACTGGTGAGACATCTGCAGCTAAAAGAGCAATAATGTATTTCAGCTGCTTTGTTGGGAATTTGCTTCTTTTTGGCTCCCTGTTCAGAAGAACAACGTGGTCCTTGCAGGTAGCGTATGTCAAACCACTGGGCGCATGTTTAATGAGAACTCTTTTGCTCTGTAGGTATCTCTCCTCCAAAGAGCAGTTCCACGCATATCTTAAAGCAGAATCCGGGAGTCAGGAAATCAATCAAGTTGATGGGGAGCAAGAGTCTACCAGCAATGACCAAAATGAGCCTCCAGCCAAACGACTGAAGTTGGACAGCGGTGATCAAGTTGGGAAGGAAGCAAGCCAAGGGGAAGTTGAGGAAGGTGCAAGAGAGAAGGAGGAACCCCGGGAAAGGAAGAGAGCCCGAGGACAGAACAAGAATCGGCCATGTATGAAGCCAACTCATTATGAAAAGGACAGGCTGTGCCCATCGGTAACCCAGGTGAGTGCATGGGATAGAGGCTGTAACCCACTGACTTTTGCATCCAGGGGTTTCACAGAATTTGCTTCGACTCTGG